GGCACTTCCTCTAACACTCATTCTAAGCCTTTCATCAAAAGTTACCCTTGTAACCACACTGTTACTTGGGACTCCAACAACAAGGTATCCAATACAAAAGCAGTGGTTACTCCTACATCTGAGACATCTAACATAAGACCAACAACCACTTCTCGTGGGCGAGCCTTTCGCCGCCTTGCAGACACGGAAATGCAGGACAAAATGGACAAAAATTTATGTTTTAATTGTGATGAAAAATTTGCTCCGGGTCATGTGTGTGCAAATAAAAAATTTCATGTCATGTTTATTGAAGGAGACGGCGATGAGGAATCAGCCCCAACTATTGAAACGACAACAGAACCAACACCCCATACCCTCCAGTTATCCATTTACAATATATTTGGATTCACATCTAAGAAAACTATTAAGTTGTGGGGATATTTGGTTGAACAACGCGTTTTAGTTTTGGTAGATTGTAAAGCCTCTCACAATTTCATTTCCTCTCTCTTGGCTCACCAACAAGGCTTATCCATTGCTACCATACCTTCTTTCAGTGTCGAGGTGGGAGATGGACGAAAAATTCAATATGGAGGGGTTTATCAACAATTACCATTGGACATTCAAGGCCATATAATTGAACAAGACTTTTATGTTTTTGAAGTTGGAGGAGTTGATATTGTGTTGGGAATGGAATGGCTGGCATAACTTGGGGAAATCCAGGCCAACTTTTGGAGAATTACTTCTCAAAGTTCCTACACCAACAGGTACACACATCATCCAAGGGGATTCCAAACTGTCAAGGACACCAGCATCTATCAAGTCTATGTATAAGGCACTCTCCAACCAAGGGGAAGGTTTTATAATCACATATCACATGATTTCAGAAGCAAGAGAGCCGCATGCTACCACACCCTCATGGATTCGACCAGTTTTGGAGAACTATCTAGAAGTATTCACCGAATTACAAGGTTTACCGCCCCAATAGACTTATGCCCATGCAATCATCTTGCAGGACGGTGCTGCCGTACTCAATATACAGCCTTACAAGTACCCACATTATCAAAAAAATGAAATTGAGAAATTAGTAGATGACATGTTGCAATCGGGAGTCATTCGGCCAAGTGTTAGTCTGTACTCTAGTCATATCATCCTTGTCAAGAAAAAATATGGTGGCTAGCGGTTTTGTGTGGATTATCGTGCCTTAAATAAAATCATTCTGCCAAATAAATTTCATATACCCATTATTGATGAATTGTTGCGTGAATTAGGAGGTGCTATAATATTCTCTAAATTGGACTTGAAGGCTGGTTATCACCAAATCCAAATGAAAATAGAAGACATTTCTAAAACAGCCTTTAGAACTCATGAAGGACACTATGAATTTGTCGGTATGCCTTTTGGTCTTACTAACGCCCCTTCTACTTTTCAGACTTTAATGAATGATATTTTACGACCATATTTATGTAAATTCACCTTGGTATTTTTTGATGACATTTTGGTGTATAGTAAAACTGAGGAGGAGCACAAGAGCGATTTGGGGTCTGTTTTAACTTGCTCAAAGAGATCATTTAGTTTCCAAATTTAAAAAGTGTACATTCAGACAAAGCCAATTGAAATATCTGAGTCACATCAATTCAGGACAAGGTGTAGTAGCCGACCCAAAAATAATGAAGCAATGCTCAATTGGCCTATACCAAGGGATCTCAAAGAGATAAGGGGTTTCTTAGGTCTCATGGGTTATTATCAACGATTTGTTCGAAATTATAGGAAGATTGCAAGGCCTCTCACTCAACTTCTTAAAAAGACAATTTCGGTTGGAATGAGGAAGCACGTGATGCCTTTGTGATTTTAAAGAAAGCTATGGATGAATTACCCACCCTTACTGTACTAGATTTTTCTCTTCCTTTTGCTATTGAGATAAATTCTTCTAACAAAGGTTTAGGTGCCGTCTTAATGCAGCAAGGCCGACCGGTAGAATTTCTAAGCCAAACCTTGTCTGAACGAGCAAACCAGAAATCTGTTTATGAAAGAGAACTTATGGCTATTGTCACGGTAGTCCAGAAATGGAGGCACTACTTGATGGGTTTCCATTTTATTATTTACACTGACCAGAAAAGTTTGAAGTTCCTCACTGACCAACGCATTTTGGGTGAAGACCAATTCAAATGGACTTCTAAATTAACGGGTTTTGATTTTGATATTGTTAACAAACCCAACAGTGATAACATATCAGCGAATGCCCTATCCTGTCGCATGACTTATGTTGCAGTTTCGATGATACACTTTTCTGATTTAGAAGAATGGGAAGTAGAAGTATTGGCTGGTTCAAAACTCCAAAGAATTATTCACGACTTGCTGTGGGATTCAAGTACTCACCCGAATTATAATTTTCAAAACCGTAAGCTATTCTAGAAAGGAAAATTAGTCTTACCCCGTGGTTCTTATAAAATTCCACAACTACTAAAGGAGTACCCCTTCAGCAGTAGGTGGTCATTCGAGATTTTTTTTTCACTTATAAATGGTTAGGTGCCTTGGTATTTTGGGAAGGGATAAAGAAAGATATTCAGAATTTTGTGGCTTCTTGTGCCATTTGCCAACAAAATAAATATCAAACCTTATCCCCTGCGGGTCTTCTCCAACCACTTTTAATCCCTTCTCAAGTTTGGGCTATATATTGATGGATTTCATTGAAGGGCTTCCCAAGAGTCAAGGTAAGGATGTTATCTTAGTGGTGATTGACAGGCTCACTAAATACACTCATTTTTTTGCCTCTTAACCATCTTTTTACTGTGAAATCAGTAGCATAAATCTTCCTGCAAGAAATTGTTAGACTACATGGTTTCCCTTCCACCATAGTCTCAGATAGGGACAAAAAAATTTTTGAGTCATTTTTGAACAAAATTATTCAAAATGGATGGCAGTAAACTGAAGTTCAGTACAACTTATCACCCTCAAACAAATGCCCAAACTAAGGTAATAAATAGATGCTTGGAGACCTATTTAAGATGTTTAACCAGGCATAAACCACGACAATAGGTCAAGTGGCTAGGTTGGGAAGAATTCTGGTTCAATTCCAATTACAACAACTCAACCAAAACCACTCCGTTCAAAGCTTTATATGATCGGGATCCACCACATTTGGTTAAGGGTACAACCGTTCCTTCAGCGGTAGAGGAAGTTAACAGGTTGACTCAAGAACGAGACATCATTCTGCATGACATTTGCTCCAATTTAGCGAAAGTCCAGAACCAGATGGAAACTCAAGCCAATAAACACCAGAGATACTCCCTCCGTCTCATATTATAAGAGAAATTTACTTTTTAAATTTATTGAATAATTAATGTATCTGATCTTTATATAGACCAGATACATTAATTATTCAATGAATCTAAAAAGTGAATTTCTCTTATAATATGGGACAGAGGGAGTATGTCTCTTTTGCTGTTGGAGACTGGGTTTATCTCAAATTGCAGCTCTATGGACTTAAATCTTTAGCAAAGAAGATAAATGAAAAGATTAGTCCTCGTTTTTATGGCCCTTATCAAATTGCTAAGCTCATCGGTTCAGTTGCTTATCAATTAGACATTCCTACTGAAAGCAAAATCCATCCCGTCTTTCATGTCTCTCTGTTAAAGAAAGTTGTCACACCAGTCCTAAATCCTCAACCATTACCTCCTATGTTGTCAGAAGATTTAAAACTTCAAGTAGAACCCCAAGTTCTCATGGATGTTCGTACTAATGCTGCAAATGCCATGGAGGTACTCATTCAATGGAAATACTTGCCAAAATTTGAAGCAACATGGGAAACATTTGATGTTATCAACCACCAATTTCCTGAATTTCACCTTAAGGACAAAGTGAAACTTTTGGGGGGATTATTGTTAGTAGACCTCCAATTACTAATGTATATGTTAGGCGTAGACCCAATGCCAAGTAAGTTAGGCCTAAATTATTTAATTAAATGTAATGTATTTAAGTAGAATAAAGAATGAGAAAATCTCATTCAATTTGTTATTTGGTTGGTTTGGTTTAGGAGAGACTAGACTCTCTAATCCTAGAGGTTGTATACAGTTTATTATGTTTATATAAATGTTGTTGCAGTTGTAACTGCTACTGCAGGAAGTTATTCCCTGCATAACTGCAATAAAGTATTGTGTTTGGTATATTATTCTCTTCTTATCTATCAATACTATTCAGAATCTATCATAGACCTTCAACTGCATTTCATCAACACTTGAGTTTTTATGTGCATTGATATGGCGATAAGAGTCTAGCCAAGTAACATATGAACTATTGGTTTAAAATTGAGTTATGTATGAATCCACGTCGTTTTGGTTGATGTAGGTCGTCTTCCCTAGTTTCGGTGAATATTACCTTTCTTCTCAGTTGTTTGAGTCTTATAGACACGAGGCAGTGAAAATGACATTTGATTAGAAGGAACTGTTATTAGTTTTTTCTGCTAATTAAAGAATTTTAGATATCTGAGTCTGAGATGTAAAGATTTGTGTTTATGACTCATTTTAATTGAAATCTAGTTTTACTACTAAATTGAGGAGAAATTCTTCTATAAGATAGATGAAGTAACAATATGTAACATATTCAGTACTATTGTAAAGTTGTAAAGAACATATCTTAGCCTATAATAATAGAAACAAAACAAAACAAGATGCTTAAATGCAAGGTATCTTAAAAAAGGAATGTGCTTCTTCTTTGTATTGACTCTTGAAAAGAAGTAAGAATCTTTAAGAATATCCATTTCAGAACTCCTTTTGGGGAAATATAATAAAATGCAAGGACCAATATGCAAAATGACAATCTTTGTTTCTATTCATGGCAATCTCATTTCCACATTCAAAGCCACTCAAACATCACACAATAAAACAAAGTTAACCACAACAGTCTCAATTAGCTTCATCACACAAACTCACAAACACAAAACAGATCAATCATCTTACAAATCTCAACTCTCTAACAACCTAATTAGTACTGTCTTTGAAAACCTTTGAAGTATTGAAAAGGTTATGGCTTTTCTTCTACCAAATCTCCAACCTTATCTTCAAAGTCAATCCAAATGCAAATCCAAATCCAATGACAACCCTCTTCATCAAACCCTTTCACAACCAAAACCCACTTCTCATTTTCTTGCATCTTCAACATCCCCAGTTTCTTCTTCTCCCTTAGCCACCCTTCAAACTTCAACTTCACAACAACAACTTCCAAAAGATGAATTCTATGTCAACCTTGGACTTGCTGTGCGAACTCTCCGCGAAGACATGCCTATGATCTTCATCAAAGACCTCAATTATGATATCTATAGGTAATTTCAGTATTAATGATTAATGATTTAAATTTTATCATCTCCATTCCTTTTTTCATTTGAAATTTGATAATTTTTCAGGGATGATATAACATTTTTGGACCCTTTGAACACATTTACCGGAATTGAAAAGTACAAATTGATCTTCTGGGCATTAAGGTTTCATGGAAAACTCTTGTTTCATGAGATATCACTTGACGTATACAGAGTATGGCAACCTTCAAAGAATGTGATATTGATTAGGTGGAACCTTAAAGGCGTGCCGCGTGTCCCTTGGGAAGCTAAAGGAGAATTTCAAGGCACTTCAAAGTATAAGTTGGACAAAAATGGCAAGATTTATGAACACAAAGTTGATAACTTAGCATTCAATTTTCCACAAAATATTAAACCAGTTTCAGTTTTGGATTTAATTACATCTTGCCCTGCTAATCCAAATCCAACATTTTTGTGGGGTTATGTGGATATCTACTCTTCTTCATGGATAATTTTATATTACATATATATATAAAGCAAATATTATTTGTTGGTCTTGATCCAAAATGGTTTTAACATTTTACTCAGAATGCAAACCCGGCAACGGAAGAAAAATATTAGTATTGGCCCGTGCAGGTCTCGAACCTGCGACCTTGGCGTTATTAGCACCACGCTCTAACCAACTGAGCTAACGGGCCTTGTTGATTATCGATTCAGATTATCTGATTTAGTAAATTAACTATGTGTTTCGATGCATTCTGGTCACATGAGTTACGCACTCTTCCCTATTTCATTAGTAAAATATTATCAAAGCTAATTTTTAATGAAACAATAAACATAGATATTTATTTTTTTAGTTTTGCTGATTTATTATTATCTGCAAATCTAAATACAAAATATAGTTTCTATTTTTAAAAATTTTAGAATTTCTTATATGATGTATCTTGTTGATTAATGACATGGAAAATTTAAAGGGTGATGTATCAATAATATTTTTTAAAACTCAAATATTTCTAGAGTTCTATAATCTATGTCTTTTACGTTAATTTTTAACAATACTTTATTTTAATATGTAAAAATCTTTTTGAATAAAAATGGTCTAGGATTTCATCTAGTCAAAGATCCTCTTTAAATAGAAATGGTCTGAGATTTATAAAGGAAAAAAGAAAAAAAGAAGAAGTATATATATATATATATATATATATATATATATATATATATATATATATATATATATATATATATATATATATATATATATATATATATATATATATATATATATATATATATATATATATATATATATATATATATATATATATATATATATATATATATATATATATATATATATATATATATATATATATATATATATATATATATATATATATATATATATATATATATATAGTGCACATTGTAAGAGAATATGTCATTTAGAACTTTATTTTATTTTTATAAAATGAAAGATCTTTTATATCTATTGCACTTGGGTTCGAGAAGATACAGACACTAAATGTGAAATCTTAAGTGTTTTGTAGGTATGTTTCGCAACTTGGAGTTTTAACAATTATTAAAATAAAGATCTGCAACTATTTAATACTTGAGTATACAATATTTATGAATTCTCTGATCCGAATATAAATGATGATGACAAATTTCAACCATTGTGATCAAAGCAAAGTATTTGAGAATATCTCAAAATTTATGATCAAAAGTGATCAATTGAATAAATATGTCTATAATAAGCTTATTTATTTTTTTTCGTTTTATTAACTCTCGCGTCCAACAGTGTGTAGAGAATGATACACCATTTGATGTCTTCCCTTTTGAGTAATATTTATCAAGACTTCTTGATAAAAGAGGTAAACTTATTTTAAGATTGAAATAACCGAGAAAATATTATTAACCCCTTAAAATAATATTTCTTAACATTTTACTCATCAAATTAAATTATTTTCTAACCCATGAGATGAGTATTTTAATGTTTTCTAGAAAAGGGGTGCAACAATTAATAATTGGGGGTGTTGAAAGGTATAAATCCAATATAAGACTCAAATACACCAAGAACAAACTCATTCTCTGCAAGCCCGATAAACCGTAAACAAGAAGAAAAAATGACAGTCCTATCTAAGAATGTTATTCAACCCTAGTACCTTGGTCCAAGTCTCTTAAAAAGCTTCAAACCCTATCACCTAATTTGCCAAGCTTACCTTAAAGAACTCTTCACTTAAATACTCGATAGAATCTTCCCAAACTTAGTAAAAGAATTCTACTTAAACCTAAGAATCGTAGAATCCTCTCTAAACACAAGGATTACTTTGGAAGAACCTTTGAGCTATCCTCTAAAGGGATGACATACACTCTAGATAAACCAATAGGCTTCAAGAACTTTAAGCATTCCACTGCCATCAACCACCTTGTAATCAACCCCATGGAAAAAAGAAAAGTCCCCTTCAAAACCACTCACCTAAAACCAAAGGTTAGAATCCTTCATTACCTTCTCATAAGAATCCTTTTACCAAGAGTCATTAACCATGACTATGTAGTTAGGAAGGATGCAGTACCCTTATAGATCTTAACTCAAGAAATTCAAATAAATTGGGTATATGAAATATTCAACCCCATGGTCCGGTACAAGGAAATTCCATCTACTAGACTACCCTATAGACCAATGATCACACAACTTATAGCCACCCTGAATATTGATACAATGGGAGAAACTGAACACTCAACAACCATATGATTACCTATAATTCCCTCAAAGAAATCATAGTTCACATCAAGAATGGAGAAATATAAGAAGACTCATCATTTAAGGAAAAAAAAAAGGATAAACCAACCGAGGACGAGAACGCCAAGACATATAAATTTTAAATATCTACCAAACCATAGCTAGTGAAGAATCTCATAGCAAGAAAGGGTGAAAATTATGGTGAAGAATAAATCTCACTTAAATTATTTTGTCTTAGTTTTTGCAGACATCAATTTTAGTACTTTCATTCACGAGCTTCCAATTCAGAAAATTTATCTTCTATAATTTAAATCTTTTAGTGATAATATGAGTGTGATGTTTTTCCTTTCTCTAAATGTCTAAATTACCCTTGCCTACATATTTATTTTTCGCAATTCATCTTTATCCACCTTTTTTATTTCGAAAAAAGGGGATAAGTATACTCTCAGGGAGAGTAGGGTATACTCTCTATTAAACTCAAATAGAGCTTAATCCCTCCAAATATATTTGTATTATTTTTATTTACCACCTCTCCTGAGAGATGTGTTGTTATCATAAAAAATGGGGAGAATGTGGAACCTTGTTTTACAAGTGATATGTTTTTAAAATGAACATTAACTTTTGATAATGACAACTAATATCCTATGATAAGTCAAACCTTATCATTAGGGTTTGATATATATGACTATTCGATGATGACAATCAAAATGAAATACAACCTAAAGCCTCATCTCAAGTTACTCAAGCAGTTTCCACAAAAGAGAAATCATCTGACAAAATTTTGAAGTACTATGGTACCTCCTAATTTAGTAGTGTGTGGACTGTAATATAAAAAGGTTTTATCATAAAAGCACATGGCTAAATCACACACGCACACACACAAATATTGTTTTTCAATTTTTTTTACTAAAAGAAAGTGTCCTTCAAAAATAACTTAAAGTTGTGCCATATGAATTAGGAACTGTCAAAATTGCAAGAGGCAAAATTTTGACTTATCTAATCAGTAATATTAGTTCAAAATTGAGCCCCTAGTGATTAGAACATCAACTTAATGGTGCACAACGACTAGATATATTTTCCTTCCTTTTATAAACTTACAAAAAATTATTTTCAAGTATCTAATCGATTATAAAAATGTATTAATCAACTAGATTACATTAAAACACATTAATTTGAAATTCCTTTTTGAGTCAATCTATGGTATATAAATAAAGGTCATTTTTCTCATTTCAAACCATCCAGAATCGTGTTATGACACTTTCAACTCTCCCTCTCCCTCTAAACTTTTATTTAGCTTTATCTCACTGAGGTTTTAGTCAAAGTGCTTTTGTGAGTGAGAATATATTTGTAATTATGGAAAGGGTACAATTGTAAATTCACCAAGGAAATCTTTTATATACACCTTGGTTGAATATTGTCCATTTCAGAGTTTATTTGTGTCAGACGCTAAACTCGTTATAAGCTTTGGTTTGGGGATTATATGATCAAACCCTAGTTTAAGGTTGGAGATTAGTCAGTGACAAAATCTCCTAGATTCTAGGTCAGCCCGATACTAAAACCAAGATAGGTTGAAGCTAACTCTGGCATTAAAAGCTTCATAGGTTCGAGATCATCCTAGTGTTAAAATCTCACGGGTTATTAGTTATCTCGTTTAAAACCAAGGTTTAAGATTTATGAGCTCAGCCAGTGTAAAAGCCTGCAAGGGTTGGGGAGAAGAAGACTATCTACAATTGTGTATGAAGAAAGGACTAACCACCTCGATTCACCATTTGGAAGATAAGATTCAAACTTCCATATTCCAATTCTTGTATTATTTGGTTGAAGCTCAACCATCATTTTCTTGTATAAGGGGGTTCGTGAGCCTTTCATACTAAAAGCTCTCAACGTTTATTGAAAACTCTCAAGATCAATTCTCGGGGAGAGGAGTATGTCCTTTGTTTTGACCGAACCTATATAATTCTTGGTGTTCCTCTTTTCCCTTAACTCTTTTAATTTTTGTAATTTATTTTCTGCTTTTTATTTTTGAAGTTCTTTGTGGAATGGTCCTTTGGATTAACTGCATTTTATAAAATAACAACATAGAGAAGTGTTCAAAGTGTTCAAGTTGATCTAGATTGCCTAATCTGTATGGAACTACATAAGGGACACATGTTGGACACAATATCTCAACACGTGATACAACATTTAGGCCTTTGCGCTATAAGCCAAACTGTTGCGTTTTGGAGTATGTTATGCAGAAGATTCGTTAAAGATTTTATTATTATTATTGATTTAAAAATATGATTAGGTGATTTGTTTGAAAGTTGGATACATATTAATTCAAATTTAAATGGAGCTTTAAATTTGAATTTAAATTGAAACAAATCATATCTTGTTGGAGAGATTTAAGGAACAAATAATATCCAACAAATTTTGCATTAATTCTTGACGAAATTAAATCAAATATCCGTGAAGAAAAACCAAGAATTATTATGCTATATAAGGAGCTCACAACCTGCATTGGAATTCAAGCATTTACATTAAAGATTTTAGAGTGCTAGGTTTACAAGAAGTCCTTGTTGTTTTATGTAACCACCGTGTTTCAGTAACTTGACATAGTAGGTTTTCCAAGTACAGTTGTAAGATTCAATATCACTCATATTTGTGATTGAGGTTGATCACTAGGGTTTATTGATTGAAAGTACAAACACTTAGGTTAGTGTTTGATAGAAAGTGAGAGGGGTTCTCATATTTAGGGGGAGACCTAAATAGTAAGTCATTGGTAGTGTTAGGAAAAGGCATAGGACAACATAGGG